GTTACGCTTATGTTTCTCCGTGTTGCTGTGTTTCACCAAGTCAAAGTGGTGCGCCCGCACCTGACGCCGACAGAACCTACAGAAAGCCTTGGACTGGTGTCCCGGCACGGGCTGGATCCAGTCCCGCAGCTCGGGCTCCGATTCCCACACGGAACAGTAACGTTTGGGGTACTTGTGCCATTTGCTCATGGTCCACAAGGGTGTGTCAGGGTCGGCGACAACCAAGTTTTATCGCCCAACAGTGTGCGATTTCTCTCTCAATACAAACATGGCGACCCCCACACAACCGGAAGTACTATACAAAACAGAAATCATAAGAAGGACTACTGCTACAACGAAACAATATATTTTGTTTCGGCTATCCTGTCCGCGGAAGCCGACGTGGTATAGCGGCTGGCTATACGCCCAGCAGCGGATCCGAAAGTCGTGGGTTCAAATTCGTATACATTACATTGGCCTCCAGGTCTACCCAGCCTTCAGCGGCACACTGGCTCGCCGCTAGACGATTTCGTCGTCGGTTAGGACAGTATGCCTATTTGGGACTGTCTTCTTTGATCGCGTCAATACTGCAGTAGTTCTTTTTACGGCTTTTGGTATCATGCAATGCTAAGCAAATTTGAATCGCGCAAATAATCTAGTCACAATTATAACCTGTTTATTGTCAACCTCTACTATGGTATAAAGATGTGTGCAAGCGGGCCATGAATGATATAGGTATTGAGGTGGACTCATGGGAACAAAACCCCATGGACCATGTTGTGTGGAAAGGGCAAATCAGGAAGGGAATGAGAGTGAAGAAAGAAATGATGGCAGAAAGGATGAGAGCTGAGCATCTGAAAAGAAACAGATTAAACATAAATGTTGACAACAATGGTCCTTAAATCCCATGCTATCATTGTGGAAGACTTTTCTTGAATCATGGGCTGTGAGTCCCATGTCTTCTCATAGCACAATACAGCACTATCCTCTGGAAAGACGGAAAGGTGACAATCAATTATACCCTAAAGCTCCGCTTTGGGGATGCAGATTGAACGGAACAATTGTTTCCCTACAACACAACCCAGCCTTAAAAGGGTTTTATGTATAAAGTCATGGGAAATAAAGGCAACTGGCGTGATGTTTCCCATACCGACTGGTGTATACAAATACAAGCCTAGCCTCATACGCATGATGCGACACTGGTGTGTAAAAAGACCTTTAGCTTACTGTCTCTAAACCCGTCCACACAGAAGGTATGATATATCGCTTGTCCTCGTCATTCTTGGTGCATCTGAACAACCCTTTTCTGTTTATTATCTACTGATGTCCACAGAATGCAGCCATAACAACTACAGGCGTTATACACAAAACGATCTGAAGAGGAATCAAGAGGCCGTCCTAGGAGAATATAGACTAATGACATTAAAAGGCATCTACATTGACAAGGAATGACAATAGCCAATGCTGCCCATCAAGCAATGGATTGCAAACTTTCCTCCCCACAACGCTTAATGGCAGAAGTAGAAACTGATTATGTCTCCATACACATGTAACGTCATCTTCTTGCTGCATATCCCCCCCCCCCTTCCTTCTTTAAAAACATATCCAAGTCATCTAGCAGAAATTACTGAAACTGGCGGTAGCTGTGACATTTACAATAAACAATCCTGTGACATGTAAACAAAAAGAGTATGCGGTAACTGGCAAACTTCTCTGTTGCTGAGATGTGCAATGTAACTACAGATAATGTGATTTGTGTACTTCAATGGGGGAGAGGACTAGGTTTTGTCTGTGCCTCATTACATGCTGGCTTGTGTTCTCAGCACTCTCCTTTATGGCAGTAAAATATGGGTTAACTAATTTGCAAAAGCAGAAATGGCTATAAACGCTTTTACATGCAATGCTTAACAATACTTGGACTTAAGTGGCAGGACAAGATCGCAAACACTGAGGTATTGGAAAGAGCAGGTATCACAACAGTTTTCTCAATGCTCAATCTCAAGAAGGCTCAGGTGGCTGGGTCATACCTGGAAAATGGAAAATTAGTAGACTCTTAAGATATTGTTTATGGTGAATTCTTGTTCTTTTCGGCGTTCACAATTCTGGTGTTAAATTTTTTTCCCTGAACTTGTTTGTTGTGTCAATAATTGCCTGTTGCACTGCAGTTCACTAAAACTTTCCAGAAGGAACATGACATTTTCACTGTTGTCTCATCTTGCAGCATGATGAGCGAACCAGCCCCTGCCATTTTTTGCTGCTCCCTCCAATGATCCTACGGTATATATACAGATCCATTAATTTAGGGTAACAATTGTAGACATGTTCAAGAGTCTCTGTCTTCAGTACTAGGTCACATTCCTCAGGCTATCTATGCCTGGGATTGTTGTTGTGATTGTACAGTTAGGTTGTAAGTCTGTGTTGCTGTATTGCTATTATGAGCCCCTCGGCAAACCTTTAGGCTAGGACCCCTTCAACAACCATTCACAGTTATAAAAAATGTAAATTGGCCACAATATTAAACATACATTCACTTTACTGGCACTTCAACGACCGTTTTAGAAAATTAACACAGAATAGATAGATGGTAATGTATGAAAGGCACTTTTCTAAATACCAGTCCCAAATTATTCACTGTTAAAAAAAATCCCATTCGAGGCCTCAAGAGGTCACATATTCAAAAATATGGAATAGGAACACTACGAACTTTGCTTTGTGTTTTATAATTTCATTTTTTTAGCCCTTCAAAGGGCAGTTGGCACGTTGTGGTTTACGCTAGGCTGCGATACCTACGCCTTCTGCCCCAGAACATCACATTTCAGCAAATTCCTAATTAGTTGCTTTTGACAACAAGCTTTTTTGGTTGTGATGAATCTATTTTTGTTCCTCAAACATGTGGCCCTGGAACCCACAAGGGGAGTCACGGGTAATGTGAACAATGGATCCAAAACTATTCCTCCCCATAATGCTTTGATGGATCGAAAACTACTACTTTCCACGACACTTAAACAATGGATCAAAATCTATACATCGCTACGACACTTCAATGGATTGAGAACTCTCCTCCCCACGGCACTTAGCTTAACGTGCTACCCATCGAGCAATAACAGCAGAAGTGAAAACTGATGATGTTGGCCTAAATGTTTTTACTACATAACCTCTTGAGGGCTATCAAAGGAATGTTTTTCGCAGTGAATTATTTGAGACCGGTATTCAGAAGAGTGCCGTATGAAATAACATGTATTCCTCTTTTATATGTATGTATATATGTATATATATATATATATATATATATATATATATATATATATATATATATATATATATATATATATATATATATATATATATATATATATATATATATATATATATATATAAAAATATATATATTTATATACACACACACCCCTTTGTAGGTATAGGAAATATACTACATTCTCGATTGCTTTTTTTTTTTTTTACACCTCTCCCTCAATTTTTGTGAAGAGAAATTAATGTGAGCCAAGTGACCAAATCTTGCCGAAATTCATGAGCCTGAAAGAGTTAATACTGGGACACCACAAAACAGTAATCCAGTAACACTGTAATCCAGTGCGGGTGGGTCAAATGAGTACTTTGATTACAGATGTCTGATGCCTAACTTAGCCACACCTCAAACACCTGTCAGAATTTGGACAGTAGCAATAATTGTTCAAAAATACCCTGTTCAACCCTCTGGGTCATCTCTGGGATATATAGTGTCAACTAGTCGGCGTCTGTGGCTTAGGTGTTACGAACGCACTTTGTAATGCAGGGGTGCCAGGTTCAATCCCAGCTGTGGGCCTTGCGCTGGTTTCTATAGTGGTATCTAGAAGCCGACCGGCCAGAAAGCAATGGCAAACTACTAGATGTAAACTTGCCTAGGAAAACCACACCAGCCAAAAATGCTGGGGTTGGTTCTGCAACGTCCGGTAAAGTAGTGTTAACTGAGTTCTCAGAGTATATGTTTGTTATTTTATTTTGATATATCATGTAATAATTTATAATCAATATGTAATTTTCCATATTTTGCTTTGATTTGAGTTGTGATTATGATAGAGAATTGATTGATTTGATTCAAGAACCGACATCACAGCAATCAGGGCATTCCCATAAGCGCTCCATCCCCATCTTCAGCAGCAAGTGAAGAGTTCCGATACTAATGGTGCCAGTAGCATTCTGACTAAATGTCCGTCTTGCCTTTCCTCTGATTCTCGAGCATCTGCCAGAACCCCTCGTCACACCCCACTGCATCAATCTCACCAGACTATGGTGATCCATCTGCTCCTCCAAACTGTATACGCTCTCCCACAAGGCACTAACCACGTCTGCCTTATCATGTATAAGTTATGATAGAGAATTGTACTATTAATAACTGGACAATCTTACCAACATTGTGTCATTAACGTGGTGTATATATTGTCTCCTTAATGTGTTTAAACTTTAATAATTATTCTCCTCCGTTTTATCTTTAGGGGAAACTTTTTCAAAGATTCCATGATCCTTCTATTTATGGATTGTAGTCCAAGTTATCCCTGTGTGGGTTCACGGGGCCTTATTATAGGGAAAACAAGAATAGACCCACTGCCTACCCAAAAGCATGTCCTAAGAGTTGACTAGCTGGGAGCTTACTTTAAAGTCAAGTGCATCTGCCTGAGAGGCAAGGAACCAGCAGTCTGCATACAGATGATTCAGATCTGTAAAATGGATGCACACGCAAAACTCAGGTTCTGGAACATGACTGCAGTTCAGAAGTGGATGAACAACCAGAACTTTCTGCCAGAGTTTACAGCTAGTGAAAGTGAAAGCGAAGAAAAAGAAGAAGTCTCGGTAAAACTGCTTGACCTTGCCACGCATTTTTTTTCTGGGGCTGTGTTTATGTGCAAGTTTTCCTTTGCCACTAGTAATTTTTTTTTTTTAAACAGATTTATAATTATGTAGTTATTAAAGTTTGGTTTTCATCTACACTCCAGCAAATACTGTTTGAAATAGTACAGACTTACCGGTAGTAAAGTCGACGGTACTGTCGTTAAACTCTCCCGTGTTCGGGTAACAAGCAGCGTTGCGCTTGTGTTTCTCCGTGGCTGCGTGTTTGACCAAATCGTTGCGATGTGCTCGCACCTGACACTGGCACAGTCTACAGAAGGCTTTGCTCTCATGTCCTGCGACAGGCTGGATCCAATCCTTCAGATCTGACTCACTCTCCCACACTGTGCTGTAGCGCTTCCGATACCTCTGCCACTTGCTCATGGCAACAGTGTCTTTAAAGGATAGACTGCTGTTGGATTCCTGCAGGTGGTTACATATCACAGATACATGTTTCACTGTTCAGTTTGTTTCACGACTTGTGTGCGCTTTCTCGCCCAATCATGGCGGTTGTCAACATCTATGAAAACTTGGCTGTATGTTTGGCTTGGCAATCGTTAACAACGAAACAAATCCGGGTAAAATCACAACACGAATGCCAATGAATTAAAGAAATAAGAAATTTCAAATGTTCGTGTTAAAAAAATAAGAACAAAATAACACCTCCGTTGTTTTATCCATGTTTATATGATGTTTTTCTCATGCACGTTTGTGTTAACGATGTGTTACTGTAGTTATTCCTCTTGGCGTTCAACGGCTCTAACTGTGAATTTCGACGGAACGTCATGGCTCTTCTTCCATGTCTGGACTTGGATCTTGTTCTATGACTTGTGTGTTGCATGCACATCCATCTTACAATAAATCTTACATCAATCATGTATGTTCCGTCTTCACAATAAAGGTTGGCTGCAAGAGATATCCATTTGGCTCTGTCTTTCGCCTTTGGAAAAAAAAAGTACATGTTTGGGGGGTTCTTAGCACTGGTACACGTTTTCTACATTTGAGGGGAAGGGGAGAGGCTTAAACCCCAGGGTTCGGTGTCCCTGCCTGGGTCCACTCTAGGGCTTCACAAGGTTGGGTCCATCTCAGAGCTATAGATTCATCATCACCATCCTGTTCTGACATTGTTTGCAACATAAAAGGCTCGCCGTTTACCCTTCCACTCCGTTCAATTACTTTGATGCCATGTATGGAATTCATTCCAGTACCTCCTGCCTCTCTCATCAACATTCATCTCTGGGTTTTTGTTGAGCATCCTCGTCTCCTCAGTCCATTAATTTTCAATTTAAGTGCCTGTTCAGGAATTCTTTGTTCGCTTCTCCTCAAAATGTACTCAATATATGTGTGTCTTATAACTGTTGATACCAAAATATGTCCAGATAACTGCTTATACCAGAGGACGTCTAGATAACTGTTGATACCAGAGTGACATGTGAAATCAAAAACACTAAAAATAAAAATCACATGACTAGTCATTTGGTTTACCAGGCTATGTATTTACAGACATTATTTAATAGGAACAAGCAGCTACTGAGAAGGGGGAGAAAAGGGAAGACAGGAACAAGGAGAAGAAAGACACGGCATATAGGGGTTAACCTGATTCGAGTTGTTCTTTTAAATCTCCATGTTAGTGGTTTTTCAAATGGCTTCTAAAACTGTGGTGCGACACGTCTTCCACTGATATAGCAAGTATAGCTCTATTTGATATAGAGCTATATAGCTCTATTTCTACTGGAATGCCAATCGGCAAAACCTGGGTTTTCTCTGCTGTCTACTCTACTAGTTGAGTTGTAGAAGTCTGACATCATAGCACTCAGGACACTCCCACAGGTGCTCTGTCCCCATTTTCATCAGTCAGAACAGAGTAACAATTCCAATAGTACTGGTTACTGCCTGACTGTATGCACAACATATGAGGGGGGGGGGGGGTCAGGAGAGTAAATGAGAGCAAGAAGCTAGAAGGGGATGGAGGATACTTCTTCTGCGTTCATCCGAAGATGTAATTGCATTGTGCCCGTTCACAGCATGACTGCGATACTTGCGCCTTTTGGCCAAAACATTCAACTTCTGCAGGCTTTTGTTAACCAGGTTAGCCTTCCCGGGAAAAGAGGATACGAGAGGTGGATAAATATTTGCGAGAGAATGGGAGTAGGTCTAAGTCAAGTAAACAAAGAATAAAGAGGACTAAGACAGGTCAGAGAAATGGAGAGAGAGATAAAGTAAAGAGATTTACCACTTTGGTGCATTCACCAGTTGCATACTCCAGCAAAAAGTTCTAGTTGTCCGTCCACTACTTGAATTTAGCATTTTTCCAGAACTCAAGTTTTGCATGCACATCCATTTTACAGATCTGGCTGATTTATTTACAGATTACTGGTTCCTCACCTCTCAGACGGACACAGTCTGACTTGAAAGGAAACACCCCCACTTAGCCTATGTTTATGACATGCTTGCTAAGAGAGCAGCAGGTTTATCCCCCCCCCCCCCCCCCCCCCCCCAACCCAAGAGGCCCTAGAACCCATGTAGGTAGACATATTTATAGAAACACAGGACAGGAATATGTCAGACATGTACATGAGACCATAAAAACCACGGCAGAGTAGTGGACACACCTATCTGCAGTGCTGAAGGTCCAGAATTCAAATTCGCACAGATGCATATTTTTTTCCCCCAAACCTGACTCCGGCTCCCAGGCTAAAATGGGTAGGCTTACAACGCAATCTCCTGGAAAGAAAAGGTGGGTTAACCACACCACCCACTGAGTGCCGACTGTTTCTACAACAAAACAGGTCTAGTAAAACATGCCTGATGCATCAAAGGGATGAAACTGGTCCTTTTGTTTGAGACAATAAATGCATACAAGGGTAAGGAGCTTTTTACTGGACACATCCTGCTCAGACAGGCACAGAATCACCAAACAGGCACTAAAATGGGAAATAAAGGATTAAAAAAGAGGGGATGTACAAAAGAAACCATAAAACAAACGAAGAGAGGCCAAAGGTGCTGGACTGGATTCCATCCATGACAGCAAAGGCACATGGCAGAATGGAGTGGAAGAACAGACTGCAAGCCCTATGTGACATAATGGCTCAACAGGGCGATGATGATGAAGAGTGAGGGAGGGGACAGAGAAGAAACAGCGGGAGTCATAAAGTGTGAGGGAGAAGACAGGATATGTGGGGGAGAGAAAAGTGGGGAAACAATATATGAGAGACAGTCAGTCAGAGGTGTGAACTGTTACAGTATTAAAGGCAAACTTAGCAGGAGGTCATTGAATATACCAACGTCAGAGACAGATCCCTGTGTGGGTTCCGGGGCCCTATTGTGGGGGAGAACAAAAAGTAGACCGTCTGCCCCCCCCCCCCCCAAACAAGCATGTCGTAAGAGTCAACTAACTGGGGGCTTTCTTCCAAGTTGGGATGCATCTGCCAGAGAGTCAAGGAACCAACAATATGCATACAGATAAGTAAGATGTGTCAGATGGATGTGCACGCAACACTCTGAAACAAGACTAAAGTCCGGAGGTGGGTGAATGTCCAGAACTTTTTGCCGAAGTTTACAGCCGGTGAACACGAAGAAGAAGAAAAAGAAGACAGAGAAGGAGAGAGACAAAGAGAGAAACAGAGAGGGGCAAAGAAAGAGAGAGAGAGAGAGAGAGGATTAGAGAGAAAGAAAGATAGAAATAGAGAGAGGTGGAGAGAAGAGAGAGAGAGACAAAGGAGAGGGAGGGAGGCTTTGTTTTGTGAGAGAGATTATTAACCAGTGTGTATTGTATTTGTGAGAAAACATACACAATGTAAGCAATGCATTACACATATCTGGTCACTTACATGATATAGGCAATACATTACTACACATATCAGATCACTTACACAGTGTAGGCAACACATTACAAGCACCTGACAACACACACAGATTAAGCAATACATTTCATACATCTAGTCATTTACGTAACACAGCAATGTCTGTGTCAAAAATATCAGGTCACCTACATGATGTAGGCATTACATTATAAAAATGTGGCCACCCATGCGGTGTAATATTTGCAAATAATTAGTCACAAGATGTAGGCTAGATTGCAAACATATGGCCACTTACATGATGTAGGCATCACAAGCAACTAGTCACTTGTGTGATATAGGTATTAGAATACAAACATTTAGTCACTTACACAAGGCAGGCCAGAATACAAACATGTGGCTATTTACATGATATAGGCATTACTAGCAACTATTCACTTACATAAATAGGCATAACAAGTCACGAGTCATACATGCAATACAGGCATTTGATTACAAACATATGGGCACTTACACAATCTGTAGAAGTCACAAACATACAGGCATATAAAGTTATCAAGCACTGGTAGCACAAGTGAAGATTGCTGTCACAATACAAAAAACTGTGCCGACCTCTTGTCACAAACAGGCATATAATAAATCTGAGATAAATAATTCCAGTCTATTGCATGGTCACGTGGGTGCTCGCCTGTTCCGTCACAAACAGATGAGGACAGGAGATCAACTATTTACTGTTAGTCACATCGATAATTTAAGAAACATTAACAATTATCTATGAGTGTAAAAAAATTAGAGGACTCTCTTCTACGCCTTCAGGCGTATTGGATATACAAGGCTAGACCTATATTTTATAGACCAGTTATCTGGACAACTTCTGGTATCAACAGTTATCTGGACAACTTCTGGTATCAACAGTTATCTGGACAACTTCTGGTATCAACAGTTATCTGGACAACTTCTGGTATCAACAGTTATCTGGACAACTTCTGGTATCAACAGTTATCTGGACAACCTCTGGAATCAACAGTTATCTGGACAACATCTGCAACCAACAGTTATCTGGACAACCTCTGCAACCAACAGTTATCTGGACAACCTCTGCAACTAACAGTTATCTGGACAACCTCTGCAATCAACAGTTATCTGGACAACCTCTGCAATCAACAGTTATCTGGACAACCTCTGCAATCAACAGTTATCTGGACAACCTCTGCAATCAACAGTTATCTGGACAACCTCTGCAATCAACAGTTATCTGGACAACCTCTGCAATCAACAGTTATCTGGACAACCTCTGCAATCAACAGTTATCTGGACAACCTCTGGTATCAGCTGGGTGATGTGGTCAATATCATGCTGGGCAACTTTACTTCCCAAGACTTTACCTGGTCCCCATTTGAGGCTGGGTCGACCTGGTAGCCACAGTCATTTTCTTTTAGTGCCACTCTGTCAGGATATGAATCCACAATCTTCTGATTCACAAGCGAGCGTCTAGCCACCACATGATAGTGACTTATATCTATGAGAGACTGAATGTAATATAAGAGACACTGACAACAGGTCAGGAGACATGGAAGTCATACA